GACCCACATAGTGAAACCCTATCTATACTAAAAATACAAAAATTAGCTGGGCGTGGTGACTTGCCTGTAATCCCAGCTACTCAGGAGGCTGAGACAGGAGAATCGCTTGAACCTGGGAGGCGGAGGTTGCAGTGAGCCGAGATTGCGCCACTGCACTCCAGTCTGGATGACAGAGCGAGACTCCGTCTCAAAAAAAACAACAAAAAAGGAAATCCCTAAGAGAATCCACATGTTGGTGGAAAGGAAGGGTAGAAAAGATAATTAAGAGATGAAAATGGCATAACTTTGAGATGATGATTAAGTGGCTAAAAAGAAGTCAAGGATAGGCTAGGCACAGTGGCTCACATCTGTAATTTCAGCACTTTGGGAGGCCAAGGTGGGCAGATCACTTGAGCTCAGGAGTTCAAGACCAGCCTGGGCAACATAGTGAAACTCTATCTCTACAAAAAATACAAAAAAATTAGCCAGACTTGGTGGTGCACACCTGTAGTCCCAGCTACTCGGGGGACTTAGGTTGGTGAATAGCTTGAGCCCCAGAGGCAGAGGTTGCAATGAGCTGAGATCATGCCATTGCACTCCAGCCTGGGCAACAAAGCCAGACACTATCTTGGGGTGGGGTAGGGGAAGTCAAGGATAAATCCCAAATTTCTGGTTTAGTACCATTTATTAAGATAAGACATGCTGGGAAGGATGTATTTGAGCAGAAGACAACTAGGTCAGTTTTGCTGGACAGTGTTGAGTTTGTGGCATATCCAGGTAAAGGTAAAGATATCCAGAGTGCAGCTGGATATATAGTTGTCCCTCAGTATCTATGGGGGTTGACTCCAGGACCCCCCATGGGATACTGAAATCCATAGATGCTTAAGTCCCTTATATAAAATAGTGTAGTATTTATATATAACCTAGGCATATCTTCTTGCTTACTTGTTTAGTTTTAGTTTTTTAGAGACAGGGTCTTGCTCTGTTGTCCAGGCTGGAGTGCAGCCTAGAACTCTTGGGTTCAAGCAATCCTCTCACCTCAGCCTCTTGAGTAGTAGGGACTACAGGTGGGCACCACCATTCCTGGCTAGTTTTTTAAAAATATTTTTGAAGAGATGGGGTTTCACTATGTTGCCCAGGGCAACTAACTCCTGGCCTCAAAACAATCTTCCCACTTCAGCCTCCCAAAGTACTGGGATGACAGGCTTGAGCCACTGCATCCAGCCCATCTCGTATACTTCATCTCTGCATTACTTACAATACCCAATACAATGTAAATGCTATATAAATAGTTGTTATACTGTATTGTTTAGGGAATAATGACAAAAAAGTCTGTACGTGTTCCTTTTTTTCTCCCCAAGTATTTTCAGTTCTTAGTTGATTGATCCATAGATGAGGAACCCACAGATATGGCAGGCCAGCTGTATCCATCGAGATCACAGGGGAGGGATTTGGCCTGGTGATACAGGCTTGAGAGTCACTTGCCTACAGATTATAGCAGGAGCCATCTGATGGGATGAGGTGTTGCAGGAATAATGGGGAAAGCAAGAAGCAACCTTTAAGGATCAGGGAAAGGAATACTCTGAAAGAAAACTGGGAACTAGGGGGAAAATGAAGAGAGAGTTCTATGCTGGAACTTAGGGAAGGTTGTTTTAACGAGGAGGACATGGTCAACAGCGTTAGATGCTACAGAGAGATGTGAACCGGTGGTGAGTGGAAGTATGCCACACTTTCAAATAGCTAGGCTACAGCAGGCAGAAGCTAGGATACATAAGACAAGAGGAAACATTTTTAAAGTTGGGTGAGACTTTAGAGATGGGCAAGCCAGTAGTGAAAGAGGTTAACAATAAAGATGAGAGACAGATTGGAGATGGAGAAAGATTTTTGAAGTGGTGAGAGGTAATGAGATACAATGCAAGGTACATTCCATTAATCTGCAAAGGAGGATGGATAATCTATTCTGAAATAAGAAGGTAGAAGGGAACAGTGGAATCAGATGTGGAGGGAAATGCTTAACATGTTTGCATACTGTTCTCATCTTTACATACTTTCTCAACAACCCTGCAAAGTAGGAGGTATGAGATATCTTCAGTTCATAAAGTAATCAGTAGCACAGTTGGTTAGTAAATGGAAGATTAGGGTTTGAGTCTAAGCCTGTCTGTCTCCAAAGTTAATAATCTTTCTGCTATACAGCTTCAGTATCCCCAGACTGTGAAATTATGATAACAGAACCAGAGGCCAGGCGAGGTGGCTTACATCTATAATCCCAGCTTTTGGGAGACCAGAGTTCAAGGATCACTTGCGCCCAGAAGTTCAAGACCAGCCTGGGCAACATAGGGCAGACCTCATCTCTAGTAAAAAATTTAAAAATTTGCCAGGTGTGGTAGCACGGACCAGTGGTCCCAGCTACTTGGAAGGTTGAGGCAGGAGGTTCATTTGAGCCCAGGAGGTTGAGGCTGTAATAAACTGTGTTCACACCACTGCACACCAGCCTGGGGAACAGAGTGACACCCTGTCTCAAAAACAAACAAAAAAACAAGCATTTAAGGATTTAGGAAGGTAATGCTTCCACCATAGGGCTTGAATGAATGAATGTTAACTTCTTCTTACCTATTCTTTTTTTTTTTTTTTTTTTTTGAGACAGAGTCTCACTCTGTTGCCCAGGCTGGAGTGCAGTGGCGCAATCTCAGCTCACTGCAAGCCCCACTTCCCGGGTTCACGCCATTCTCCTGCCTCAGCCTTCCGAGTAGCTGGGAATACAGGCGCCTACCACCATGCCCAGCTAATTTTTTGTATTTTTAGTAGAGACAGGGTTTCACCATGTTAGCCAGGATGGTCTCGATCTCCTGACCTCGTGATCTGCCTGCCTCGGCCTCCCAAAGTGCTAGGATTACAGGCGTGAGCCACTGCGCCCAGCCCTTCTTACCTATTCTTTTGGAGGAGAAAAAATCAAGAAGCCTTCCCAGGTTGTAATTTCCCAAGCGGTTTTTTTTTTGTACAGCTCCTCTGCATATCTGACAAAATTTCCCATAGCATCTTTCAGTAACACTTTTATCTTGCTCATACTTGCCCCATCATCACAATGACATTTATGTTCACAGGGTCTCCGGGGCTTGCTGTCATTCCTTCATCTGGCCGAAACATGCTTCTTCCTGAAAGTTCCCCATGAAGCATTCTCCTAGTTCTAAGTAGTTCATTAGCTCCCCGGTTTCCCTTTTCTCCTCCTTCAAGTACACACATAACTAATCTAAAACAGGGTCTTCCCAGTCGGAACCGTTGGTATCAAGTACACAGGAGTGCCATAGCCTTGAATCTAATTACCTAGTACTTTGAATAAATCTGGAAAGTCTGGTATGCTTACAAGATGATACAAATGTATAAAATAAACATTTAAATTATACAGTTTTTTTTTTTTTTTTTTTTTTTGCTTTGCTTGTCTCTACACAGCCAATAGTTTCTGAAGATCAGACAGCAGCCCTGATGGCCCATCTCTTTGAAATGGGATTCTGTGACAGGCAGCTGAACCTACGGCTGCTGAAGAAACACAATTACAATATCCTGCAGGTTGTAACGGAACTTCTTCAGATAAACAACAATGACTGGTACAGCGAACGCTATTGAGGAGTGACCTTGTATTAAATAACTGCCTGCTGCTCAGAGATGATCTTTATTCTGTCATTGGGGTATGGGGTAGAAGCCCTTGCTTATTTTTAATCTGATGAATCTGTGTAGAGCCCATTGTTGAGTTACCAAGACAATACCTATTACAGTATTTTGGGGAGCAAGTTAAAGACCAGAACTTAAATTTTCACTTTAGACATTGGATGAATAGTATGAAGACAGTTTTTCAGTTGATTTGGATAAAACTATTTTAGTGCATTGACAAGTATAACTTCAACTTCATATAGAACCATTTTTCTTTCTGCTTTTATTGAAGTTGAGTGTTTTTCTTTGATTAATGTGGATTTTTTATGGGGATATCTGTTAATTTTCAGGTTTTGAAAGACATTAACCTCGTAAGTTGTTTTTAAGAATTATTCTCATAATTTCTGTAACCCAGCTCAAGCTTCATAGCTATTTGGCATTAAAATAACACCCAGAGCATGATAGAAATGTTGTTACTCTTCCTCTCTCAAGGAGAAAGAAATTTTCCTGCAAGACTTAATAGTTGGCACCGTTGCTTTCTAAAGACTCCGTGGTGCATTCAAGAGTACCCAACTTCAAGGGAATCTCTGCATTTCAATGAAAGGAGGAAGAGTGTGCTGATAAACCCACCAGCACCTATTGAGCAATGTCTATTATAGTAATTTTGCATACATTTTTATTTAAGGGAAAAAATTTAGGTAGTGTGAAATATTTTGCTAATCTCGTAGAAAAAGAAAAAATCCTTCTGTTATTTAAAGGGAAAAGTAAATTTAACAGTTACCTTTTTTCTTAATGTCAGGGCAGATCTTATTTTACAGTACAGTGGGGGAAATAGAAACATGTGAAAGGCAAAAGGCAGGCTCCTAAATTAATGTCAGTAAAGTTCAGGGTGGGCAAATGAGTGTGTGTGAGGTATAGGAAATGCTGATGACTTCTTTAATGCTTGAAGTCCGTTCAGAGGTATCCAGCCCTAGAAAGCCTAGAACAGGAAGAGGCAGCTGGTATTGTGCAAAACTTGGATGGGGGCAAAGTTGCTGAAAAAGTTTTGGTTTAACTCCAAGATAAGTGGGAAGGAGCTTGTCCATGGACCCAGGTTCTCACTCTGTTTACAGAAGGGAGTTGAGTACAGTTGGTGAAGGAAGAGGTAACAAAAAATGCTAAATATTTTATCCATGAAAATGACTTCCAGGAAAGGAAGAATATGAATTCCAGACCGAAGGGGAAAAGATAGTTAAAATAGTATTATCTAACCTGGTTGGTATTTGTAATGAATGGTGATTTTAATTAGTCATTAGCCATAATGATGTTTATTTACAGTATAACTCCTGAATGCTACTTAAATAAACCAGGATTCAAACTGCAAGCCAACCAGGCCGTTCATTATTTAAAACATTTTAATCGGGGCTTCCGGGCAGAAGGTGGAGCGGCAAGGTGTGTGTAACTGGATTGATGGGCGGGACCTGTCTTGACCATCGGAGCTTTATAGTCGAGGGCCAGGAGGGCCCGGGTTGTCCTCTCCGTTGCACTTGTACATAACCACCTAAAGAATGGTGAAATAAATGTTCTTCGAAATTCCTATCCGGACTGGCCAGTCCTTGCGGAAGCAGCGTCCGGGCCCTCGGGTAACGTTTGAAGAGTTGGGAGCGTCTCTGGCTGCTGCGTGGCGAAGGGGTGGTCCGGGGGATGAGGGGGTGGGCCCTTAGGGGCTGGGGCGGGACTTCCCTGGGCACTGAGTCAAAGCTTGAGGGGAGTGTCCGCTCCCGCACTTTCGATTCTGCTTGCTGCCGTTTCTGTCGCTGCAGTCGTCCGCGGGTAAGACCCTCCCTAGACACTCTATTTACTTACTTTATCTTTCGGAGGTCAAGACACCTCCTGTTGTCGCCGTCTCGCCCAACACACAGGCGCCCCCTGCACGCGTAGTAAGCTTGACTAACAGCCTCTCGGTGTGTGTGGTGGGACTTGAAATCCTCCCTTAATGAAGTCACACCTTCTCCGTCCGCGCCCACCGGGTCGGCCCGTGGCAGAGCCCCCATGTAGCCCAGGAATCGGCTTGGCCCTTCGGGGAGGTCAGCGTCTTCGCTATCCCCACTCTCCAGTGCGGCACATTCGCTCCCCTAGGACTCCGGCCGGTTGCCGGCCCCACGCCGTGTTTCTCCTCCCCACCACCGCCCAGCTCAGCCCAGTCCAGTGCACTCTGCCGTTAGAGGCCCTTCTCCCCAAAGACGCACGTCAAAAGTCTCGCCCTTGTGCAGCTGAGGAGCCTGGGGTCCCAGACCTGAACCAGGTGAGCCTCGCAATATTTTAGCCCAGAAAGATCTGTGTGGCTCACTTGCCGGCCTCGTTCTGCCACACAGAGTCCAGATTTAGCCTTGACTTTTCCTAGTGAAAGACAGACTCTGGTATCACTATGACCTCCTCAGGCTTTCTTACCCCGCCTTAGAAAGCAGTGAGGTGTCTGCTTTCTCCCAGGGCTTCTTTAGATAGGGGTCTTAACCACACCTGTGACCAGTCTGGCCTCTTCTCTGCTTGTTTCAAAGAATCTCTTTTCTGCCCTATCCAACTTCCTTCCCTTGAACTGAATGACAGCTCAGCAACTTTTTTTTTTTTTTTTTTTGAGACGGAGTCTGGCTCTGTCGCCCAGGCTGGAGTGCAGTGGCCGGATCTCAGCTCACTGCAAGCTCCGCCTCCCGGGTTTACGCCATTCTCCTGCCTCAGCCTCCGGAGTAGCTGGGACCACAGGCGCCCGCCACCTCGCCCGGCTAGTTTTTTGTATTTTTTAGTAGAGACGGGGTTTCACCGTGTTAGCCAGGATGGTCTCGATCTCCTGACCTTGTGATCCGCCCCGTCTCAGCCTCCCAAAGTGCTGGGATTACAGGCTTGAGCCACCGCGCCCGGCGACAGCTCAGCAACTTTTCCAGAGAAAAATTAAATGCTCTGCCAATCATTTATGGAAGTTCCTTAAAGTGAAATAACTTCTGCTTTTCTTTTGTTTTCTCTTTTGTAGGCAGATTGGTCTCTTTTAAAATAATGAAAGGAGTTGAAATGCATTGAGACTTCTGAAAGTCCCGTGTAACCACCCAATTTTTCACACCCTATCTTCCTTAGACTTGAGCTTGCTTAAACTGTGGTGGGGCTCCTTGCCAGTCTTGAGAACCTCAAACCAAAATTACATTTGGCGTCAGTGCTTAGCACTGAACTTTGGTCTTTTCTCATTAGTGAAACCCCTGCCTCCGAAGAATGGGTAAGACGTTTTCACAGTTGGGCTCTTGGCGGGAGGACGAGAACAAGTCAATCCTGCCCTCCAATCCAGCCATTGGCAGCCAGGCTGTCAGCTACTTCAGCACCGGTAGCAGCAAGTCTCTTTGTTCCTGTGTGCCTTGTGAAGGAACTGCTGGTGCCAGCTTTGTGACTTGTCCCACCTGCCAGGGCAGTGGCAAGATTCCCCAAGGTGAGTGGCCCACGGCTCTGGAAATACCCTGGAGTCCAGGGAAAGTTCTTAGCCTATTGGCCTGGGGCAGCCCCTCTGAATCTCCTTGGATGGGGTTAGATCTGCTCCCAGCTCTTGACCTCCCAGTCTCAGGCTGGCCAGGGAGATACTTAACTATCTTTGGGTTCCCTGCAAAAACCTGCCCTCCTTCCCTGGTTGTATTCCCCAGCCCCTTGTGGGAAAGAGGGGTTCTAGCCACTGTGCTCCTAAGCAACACTGTATGTCTTAGGATTCATTCAGTTCAGGAAGTTAGAAATTACCTTTCCAAAGATCCTGGGCATCTCTGATTTGCTGGTGACTTTCAGAGATTCTTCATACCTATTAGTGGAAATCTCACTTCCATTCTAGAGATGGCAAAGCTGACCTGCCAACTTTGGTAGCAGAGTCCAGTGCTTCCAGTTCTGCTCTGGGGCAGAGGCGGCATGCTTCTAACATTGCTCCGGCCAGGCGCGGTGGCTCAAGCCTGTAATCCCAGCGCTTTGGGAGGCCGAGACGGGCGGATCACGAGATCAGGAGATGGAGACCATCCTGGCTAACATGGTGAAACCCCGTCTCTACTTAAAAATACAAAAAACTAGCTGGGCGAGGTGGCGGGCGCCTGTAGTCCCAGCTACTCGGGAGGCTGAGGCAGGAGAATGGTGTAAACCCGGGAAGCGGAGCTTGCAGTGAGCTGAAATCCGGCCACTGGGCAACAGAGCGAGACTCCGTCTCAAAAAAAAAAACAAAAAAACAACAAAAAAACATTACTCTATGGTGTGGGTGGAGGCATGCTTCTGGGAGGCTGGCACAGGAAATATTTGTCACAGTTGCATCTTTGCCCTCCCTCTCACCTTCTCTCTCTCTAGAGCTGGAGAAGCAGTTGGTGGCTCTCATCCCCTATGGGGACCAGAGGCTGAAGCCCAAGCACACGTAAGCCCCTCTTCCTCCCTCAGCTCCACAAGCCATTGCCCATGGGGGCTGCTCCCTTTGTCTCCCCTGTTTTGATCCCCCCTAATATATTCCTATTAGTTCTTCCATAGAAAGCCTGAGCCTCAGAGATACCACCTCCTTATGTCCAAGAATTTTTTCCTGATTTAGAAGCTCCTGGACCGGGTGTGGTGGCTCATACCTGTAATCCCAGCACTTTGGGAGACCAAGGCAGGCAGATCACTTGAGCTCAGGAGTTCAAGACCAGCCTGGGCAACATGGTGAAACCCCATCTCTACCAAAAAAAAAAAAAAAAAAAAGAAAAAAGTAGCAGCAGCAGCAGCAGATGTCACTTGAGGACACCAGGTGGCCTTCCTTAAGCATCGCTGCTTCCAGGAAACATGGCACCCTCTCCAAGACAGGAAGGATCTGGTAGCTCTGCAAGTCCTCCCAGGAAGGAGGGAACAAGCATGTGGCCCTGGCTGCAATTGATTTGAAAACATTATTTTTCTTAAGCAGCTCCCTTGCTGAGGCAGTTCAGACTTGCTTGTTCTTCTCCCAGTAGAGGTGAAAAACCTATTTTCTGCTGTTCTGGGATACTTCAGAACCTCAGGCAGCCCTGGGGCCTACTGTGTTTGTGATCTGAGTCTATCTGACATGGAACTCCCTCAACCTCCTCCTAAGGTCCTGGTGTCAACCTGGGAGTCACCACCAAGCCGAACCCTCTCCGCCACCCCACTATACCAGAATTAGAAATCAGGCTGGGCATGGCCGGGCACGGTGGCTCACACCTGTAATTCCAGCACTTTGGGAGGCCAAGGTGGGCGGATCACGAGGTCAGGAGATCGAGACCATCCTGGCCAACATGGGGAAACCCCGTCTCTACTAAAAATACAAGAAAATTAACTGGGCATGGTGGCGGACGACTGTGGTCCCAGTTACTCGGGAGGCTGAGGCAGGAGAATGGTGTGAATCCGGGAGGCGGAGCTTGCAGTGAGCTGAGATCACGCCACTGCACTCTAGCCTGGGTGACAGAACAAGACTCCGTCTCAAAAAAAAAAAAAAAGAAATCAGGCTGGGTGTGGTGGTTCATGCCTATAATTCCAGCAGTTTGGGGAGGCCAAGACAGGAGGATTACCTGAGGTTAGGAGTTTGAGACCAGCCTGACCAACATGGCAAAACCCCATCTCTACTAAAAAATACAAAAATTAGCTGAGCACAGTGGCAGGTGCCTGTAATCCCAGCTACTTGGGAGGCTGAGGCAGGAGAATCCCTTCAACCCAGGATGTTGATCGCGCCACTGCACTCTAGCCTGGGTGACGGAGCAAGACTCCATCTAAAAAAAAAAAAAAGAAAAAAAAGAAATTAGCCGTGCCCATCATAAGATACTAACAAAGTACTTATCTCTTTAATGCGTATCTGAATTTTGAATTAGATGGATGGATAGTGTCCTGTTCTGAATGTTAAAATTCAGAACTTCCAAATATGGACTTATTTCTTCTAGTGATAATAACTAGCATTCATCATGCTTTTGCCATGTGCAGGGACCTGTGATTAGTATTTTTTCATATATTAGCCAATAACAAATTCTATGAGGTCAGTACAATTATCTGCCTTTTACCAACAAGGAAACTGAGACTTAAGGAGATTAAGTGGGCTGCTCCATGTTATTGGGTCAATGGGAACAGAGAGCTGGAGTGGAAACCAGGCTGCCTGCCTGCCAATCCTGTGCCCCTACTCATTCCGGGCCACATCTGGGGAGCTAAATGATGTTGGGGTAGTGTGCAGGGGAAAGCCTGGTGTATGGAGAGGAGTGTCTGAACCTCCTCCCCAAGTTTCTTTGGTGTTCAGACTTTTCCATTCCTCCATCCTGGATCTTGCTTTCACACAGGAAGCTCTTTGTGTTCCTGGCCGTGCTCATCTGCCTGGTGACCTCCTCCTTCATCATCTTTTTCCTGTTTCCCCGGTCCGTCGTTGTGCAGCCTGCAGGCCTCAACTCCTCCACGGTGGCCTTTGATGAGGCTGATATCTACCTCAACATAACGGTGGGTGGGTGCCCTTGGGCTCCAACCCCTCCTTCCCAGCAATACTTCACTGTAACCTTTGTCCAGCGTTGTGACCCTGGGCATGGGAAGCCAGGGATCTTATGGCACCCAGAGGGTGTTGGGAGCCTGAAGAGAAGTAGGAGCAACCATGAGCTCCATGACAGATCGTAAAGGTTGGGACTCTGCACAGTAAGGGGTCAGAATCTGGACCAGATAGATAAATCATAGGGGTGGAGTGGGGTGACAGTGCCTGAGACTCTCTGGATGGACAGGACTGAATGGTAAGAAGTCATACAGGGTGGGCCTGGATCCTGAGCCAGCTTAACTTCGTAAAGATCCCTCACCATTCAGTGCCCCTCCATGGGGCTCCTGGTTTTGGTCCTCTGCACCTGAAGCTTGTCATGGTAGATGGGGCTTAGGCCAGACAGCCAGGCTTTTGCAACTGTTTGGCTTTTCCTAAGGATGGGCCATCTTCAGTCCTCCTTTCCCTTGTCTTCATCCCCAGAATGTCTTAAACATCTCCAATGGCAACTACTACCCCATTACGGTGACACAGCTGACCCTCGAGGTTCTGCACCTATCCCTCGTGGTGGGGCAGGTTTCCAACAACCTTCTCCTACACATTGGCCCTTTGACCAGTGAACAGGTGACTCCCCTCTCCCTGGCCAGCCCTGCCCACCAGCGTGTGGATGTGTGGTGGTGGGAAAGGGGCAACTGGAGTCGGGGCTAACCCTGTGCCCATTTGGTTGACAGATGTTTTACGCA